ACTCTACCCAGGGGGACAGCTCGAGGCTCTGTCTCAAAAAAAAAGAAAAAAAAAAGTTTGTGTGTAAACGCCTCTCTACTGTATTTTATAAGTTTATATGGCAAAAGGACATAAAAAACTTTTATTCACCTCTTCCCAAGCATCCCTAATCTAACTTAATTTAAAAAGGTCTTTCCATCCTTATCCCCTAAAAGGATGATTCTCTACCTGCCTGTTGTTCCATAGCCCTGGGAAGCTATTTCTGCAGGTCCAGACTGTAATCTATCTGGCTGCTAGGTTGGGCCCCTCTCACCTTCTCAGCCAGTGGGACATTCAACCTCCAACCGCCTACCTCTATCCTCTCTTTCCTTCCATTAGGCTGATCTTCCTCCAGTTTTTGAGTGATCCCAGCAATTGTCCTCCACATCTGCCACATCTGCACCTAGCAGGTGTATTCTTTGTGTGGACTTGGGCATCACATCAGACCTTCTTGTACTTACAGTGCTCTCTATACTGTGAATCTCCCTCACATTGTGTATCTATCTCCCAAACATTTTTGGTTTCCAATTTTCTTTTTCTCATCAGATCCTGAATCCCTTGAGGGCAGCAATCTAACTCAACTTTGGGTCTTGACGGCTTTTCAAGGCCTGGCACAGAATATGCTTAGCAAATGTGTTAATGAACATTTGTGTGTGTGAGAGCACAGCTGGGTATCTGAGTTAAGATTATGAAAATCTGGCAAGGCATGGTGGCTCAGGAGTACTCTATCCTAGTATTCTGGGAGGTTGAGGCGGTGGATTGCTTGAGCTCAGGAGCTGGAGACCAGCCTGAGCAAGAACAAGACACTGTCTCTACTAAAAATAGAAAAAACTAGCCAGGGGTGGTGGTGGGCGGCTGTAGTCCCCAGCTACTCTGGAGGCTGAGGCAGGAGGATTGCTTGAGTCCAGGTTGAGGTTGAGGTTGCTGTTGAGCTAGGCTGACACCACGGCACTCTAGCCTGGGCAACAGAGTGAGACTCTGTCTCAAATAAATAAATAAATAAAAACCTTTATTGAACACCTCTATTTTCCAATGATAACGGTGCTAGCTGCAAGGATGCGGGTCTGGTCTGGTACTCCAATAAATTTAATTTTAGGCCAGAGTTTGGGGTGTCAGGCTATACTAGCAGAGCTGTGCCCCGAGTTCAGTGCCAAGCCTGGAGCAAAGAACAGACTGCTCACCCGGAGCTGAAGAGGGCGGGGAAGGGGGTGCCAAAGTTGGGTCCTCGGTCAGTGCATCTCCCCCACAAGAGCTCCCTGCCCCCCGGCTGGGCAGGATGTGGTGGCAGCTGCAGGAGGGTGGGCAGGATGTGGGGGTGGGGGCAGCTGAAATGCAGCCTGACTGTCGTGTCCCCAGCTCCTCCCTCCGTCTCTCCCCCCAATCCACCCCCTCCCGGTCACGTGCTTCCAGCCTTGGCACCGACGGACTATTTCCCTTTTTCCGCGGAAGGACATAACTGTTAGCGCAAACCTGAGTCACCAACTTTAGCTGTACCATGTCTTTTTCTTGCTCCACACCCTAGTAAGGAAAGTTTGCCAAACACATTTCTTTAAAGCTCTTATCACTAACCCGGGAGTGGCCCCTTTAAATGCAAATCAACAGCCTTCTCTCTAGCTCCCCTACCCCCATCCCAACTTCGCTCCTCGTGCCCAGACTCCACCAGCTGCCATTGACGTCACGCGTGCGTCAGCGTCGCCAGCCCAACCAGACGGCACGTGGGGGGAAGAAGGCAGTCTTAAAGAGACAGACGCCCGTGGCCTGCTAGGTTTCTACTTTGAGATTTGGCCTTGGAAAGGAGGCATGAAATGTGATGTGGGGAAATCTATTGGCGCAGAAAGAGACAGTGGGTAAACGTTAGGAAGTACTTGCTAGGGTAGCAGGGTGTTTTCTGAGTAAGGTCTTTCCTTTAGGTTCCCCAAAAGTTTGGGTATTTTCTGGTATTTGGGAGAGAGAAACTCAGGAGCAGGAGAAGCTAAACAACTGTGAAGGTGAAGGAAGTTTGGCGGTTAAGACTTGCTTGATTGGCTCGGCGCCTATAGTTCAACAGGCTAAGGCGCCAGCCACGTACACCTAAGGTGGCGGGTTCGAATCCCCAGCCCGGACCCGCCAAACAACAATG